CGAAAGTATATTCCAAAAAAAATCCCTTTCCATACAGGTAGGTGTGCAATAACCAAGTTGATCATGTTGTAGCACTTTAGCATTAGCTTCCACCAAGTACTGTGTTGGTATAGCACTTTAGTGTTAGCAGAACTAATTATTAGGATTAGCGCAGGTAAACATCTGGTTAGCGCTGCCCACCACTGTCCACGGCAGCATATTAGCAACATATTGTTTTGCCTTAGTGTAAGCTGTGCACTTTAGCCTTATTCTCTTTAGAAATACCAAAGCCAGGGAGAAGAGTCATTTTTTACATAAATGTATCATTTCTGAGTAGTTTTTGTTTCTTAAATCTTGGAAAGTAACATTTCCAATTACTTCATTAATTGATAGATATTCAGCTTTTCCCACAAGGTTTAGTATTTCAGATAAATTGTAAAATTCCAGTTGAGATCATCACTTTAAAAGGTGACCAATAAACATGGTTCAAGTCTTTTTATTTCTACTACTTATTTATTATAAATTGTTTTTTTTTTTTGTAATTACTGCAAGAGCCACAGAAAAGAGGCAAGACTCTTAATGCCTGAAAGAGTCTTGAAACTATTTCTTCTGGAGAGAAGATGAAATGTGGAAGTGAGAGGCTGAAGCGCTCCGGCTGTCTCTGTGGACCCTAGACTGTCTGTTTCGGACGCTTGGCCTTCCCAGTGACTGTCTGCTGGTGTCTGCTGACACCAGGGGAAAACTGTACACATCACTGCAGGACTTACTGCAGGAAAACAGAAACTGCTACACAAATTAAACACTAATGTAGTTGAAGTGAATCTGCAGTGGTTTACAGAAGAGTCTTGTTTGTTTCAGCTTGTTGAACACCAACAGTGCATCCGAAAAGCATTCAAATTGCTTCATTTATATCTGTTTCCTTAAACTTATTCACACAATAAGCCCATTTTGAAAATATTTTATACGAGTAAAATATTTGATCTTTTTCTCCCACATAAATATTCTTTAAAACAATAGCACTATGCAGCTTGATGGATATTTTATTTCTGGACACTAATAATGCAAAATATAAATTAATATCTCCATTTGATAATACTGGCTGCCTATTTTAGAGTAATCCTGTGAAACATCTCCACCCTGTGAACATTTGCCTAATATCATTTCAACTTATACATCTCTTTTCTTGCATTTTTTTTCATCCCGTTTTTATTTCGCTCACTTCGTGAGCACAATAAAATTACTTGGGAGGAATTAGGGGTAAAGCCAGAGATATTAAAAACATAATCTGATCCAAATAGAGAGAAGATTGATTCTCCCAGCTAGCGATGCTCTGCAGCACCACAGGATAGCATATTAAAATGGGAGTTCTCTTGCTGTGTGTGATTTTGTGCATGCCTGTGTCTGTGTTGGACGATGAGACGTTTGAGACCATCTTATAAGTTTTACTGAAATTATGAGGTGAAATTAAAGTTTATTTTAAGAATTTGTGCAGTTTTTTGTGTGAAGACGGAGTCAATCTTTTACCTGAATGTAAGCTATAAGTTGCAGATGTATGTTTTTTTCTTCCTGCTGTGACCTGGATGAGTCTGATTTGAATGTTTGGTTTGGGGCTTTGTTTTTTGACCAGCTGTGGGTGGCTTCCTCTGTGGATTAGTGTTGGTATGGCTTAGCATGTTTAACAAGATTATTCATCTGAAATAAACCACACTGCTCTATCTGATCTATAATATGCACTTCTTGTGTTTATTTGACCAAACAACTATTGACCACCAGAGCTACATATGGCCTGCGAGCTTTAGCCTATATGGAGATCCTAAAGGGAGAGTATTCTTATCTTGGCCTCTAGTAAAAGCATAAAATACACAACATTATTCACCTGAATCTTTTTTAAGGCCCTGGTCACACAGAGCTGGTCCTCAGTGAAACCTTAACATGCTTTGTAATGCTGCCGCTTCCTTGCACGTCGCCGTTGATCGGACACAGAACAGCAGATCTGAAAGCGAAACTTTTCGGGAACACTCCTGCAGAAGGTGTGAATTACTCTGCAGGTATGAAACCCCACATGCAGGATTGATTCTACTCATGCACAGTAAAAATGGCAGATAGAACTGTATTGTGTGCTACTTAACCTGTCCAGTTTACCATGTCTTCTGATAACGAATAAATATATTTTTAAAAGGAGGTTAAGGGTCAAAGCACATGTGCGTTTCAACGGCATCACTGCTCCATATGATGCCCAGACTACAGCAGATTGAAGGTGTTTTGTTGGTCTGGTCTAAGTAATAACACCATGTCAAAATGTGAAATGTCCCCCTAAAAATATCTGAAAATATCAGCAGTTTCCACATTGTGGTCTTGTGTAAACAAAATCTAAATCACGCTACTTTTGAATTGTGACTATGCTGAGATGCAGTAAATAGTTTTAGATTATGGATGTTGCTGCAAAACCCCAAATGCCTCCTGGACTAACAGGAGGCTGTATTTACGCTAAACCAATGTAATAATTCATGACTAGTGAATAAAAGTGAGAATTCTCAAATTTGATGTTTCTGTGCATCTCTTTGCAGGACTGTGAGAGAACATTTGTAGAACTTATATGCAGTACTTTGAATGTCCTGTTCTGGTCCAAACATTTAAAGACATTTTTCACTTTTCATTGTGTTTCTATTTTCCCGGTCATGTATTTTTGGTGTATAAGATTTCACAATCACGTTTTTAAGATTCACGGGACTCTTGTGAAGTCGAGCAGATGAATGATTCACCAATCTGTCTGGTGGAATAATGCAATGCATTTGTTTGAACACAAAAATAGGAAAAAAACAATAATTCATGGGCGGGAGTTGATCTGTGCTGGCGTCTTTTCTCTTATTTTGAACTTTGATGTCGGTTTCTTCCAGTCTGTCTTTGTTGTGAAACCGTTTCTCATTCCGTCTCTTCTTCCCTTAAGAATTTAGTGACTGTGTCTTTCTTGTTTGTCTTTCTCTTAATCTATTTCATGTGTCAACTCTAAACTCGGTTGAATGTTGCTTGCTGACTGTGCAGCTACTTAAAAAGCACTTCATCCTTTGTTTGTTGGTAGTGTGCCCTTAAAATGTCATATCCTCCCCAGACATTCACCTACAAACATCTTCTCCCCTTTTCAGAGTCTGACTCAATCTGCTGCAAATTTTGAGGGCAACCTGACTTACTAGGGAAGAAGCAGGAAGTACATTGTCATTACATATGAAAAAAGAAAGATGAGAATAAGGCGTACTGTGAGTCAAACCAAACAAATCAGACATCAGTCAAAATTGCAGGTTTAAACTGCAGTCACATCTCCGAGTCGACCTTAAACAAATGCTCATGGCAAGCAGCCTGTTGCATCAGTATTGCAGAGCAGAGGAGTCAGTTACAACATGACTCTGTACAGAACCAATTAGAACCGACCTCGGGACTAATGGTAACAGCAATTGAAGCTGACACAAAACACCAATGTGTTTATAAGAAGTGGGTTTGAGGCATCAAAAGGTCATACGATCACATCGACGTAGAAATCCTATTCCTCATTCAGCATGCTGATGCTGGAGCGCTGAAGCACTCTAATGGCATTTCTTTTTATCTTTTCATTTCAGTCAGTTTTTACTTTGCTTCTCCTCCCACAGTGTTGAAAGCAACCATATGGAAAATACTTCAAAACAAATGGCTGTCAGAAACAATGTGCCATGGCTTGTCCTTGCAATACTTCACACACTGTTGATGAAATTTGCATAACACTTCATGCAGACATTCCTATAGAGTGCAATGGGCTCGGTTCACTTTGGCGCTCCAGAGATCAGCCGTACCTTACAGCAGTGGTCCGACCTTTTTATTTCTGCACACCACTGCCTTACAGCACTAAGCATAAAATATACCACTGAATTTTAAAACTGAACTGACATGTTTTAAAAATCACAGATTCCACTTTAATGGTGGAGACTGATCACACTAAAGGTGTTTCATGTTAGTCAGTATTAATAATTGATCAATTGTTTTGTTTCTAATGTCTAAATAACCAGATGCCATGGCACTTTTCACTCGACACTATTAAATAATAATAACCAATAAAGCTAAATATGAAGCTAATGCAGCAGCAGTATTTAACAAAGTTAAATAACACAATTCTAACTAACATTACTAACCATTCAAATGTCTTTTGGTAAAATGTTGAGTTGCCTGTGATGTCAGTGGAGTCCAGCAGCTTTTATAGACATTCTGACGTTCAGTTAAATGTTTCTTTCAAAGGACATAAACACCAGTTTTATTTCAGTGTTTATACAATCATTCTGCACTTTCATTTTCTACATATTTTAATGTCTAGACTTGACCTGCAGCAGGAAAAACAGGTATTTAGCATTCATAAAGAGCCCGGGAAAAGGTCTAAGAGTAAAACGAATGCAGGGAACTAACAATGAGCTGAATGGAACTGTGAAAGAAAGGTTTCCATTTTTATGTAAATGAGAGCTGCCATCATCCTTTGCTGTTTCATCAAGTATTCAGTTGGCCTTAGTTGAATTCGGACACAAAATACAGGCAAGTAGGCTGCGGATGGTTGTTTAAATTGTGCACTTTCATTATAGAGTTGAATCTTTTATGGAGGCGACCTTTGGTGTTTGCTCACTTTCAAATGAATTTTTTTTTATTAGACGAAACAAATACCAACACTTCTGTGATTCCATTGCAATCAGTGGACTGTCATCTGTGTAGCAGCTTCACTGGAGTATGTGGGCTTACATGCAAGACTGAGTTGAGGTTCAACCACAGCCAGCAACATCCGAAGCAGAGCAGACATGCAAACGAATGCAGTAAGATGAAGATGAGGAGGAACAACAACCAAGGAGCCCCAAAAAATGGAAAACCAAGACAAATCAGGAAACAGAGGGATAAAGTGGAGGAGGTGTAGGGCAGGAAACAACCAAAATGAATTATTGTTTTGTGTCGTGTTTATGGTTGTGCTGTGACATAACATAGGGAAGAAGATATTCTGCCTATAAAGAAATAATCACCTTCGCTTGGGATGACTAGAATGTACGGCGTTGTTATTTGTCCCCTACCTATTACCACTAAGGCCAAGGGCCGCACGTCCCCGCCGGAAAGCATGAGAGAGAGGGAAGAGAGAAAAACAAACAACAACAAAAAAAAGGAAAAGAAAGAAGAAAAAAGTCTAAGAAAAAAGATATTTCGTTTTATTTATCAGTTTCATTAGATCTCCCTGCTTTGATCTGTCTAAGGAGAGAAACTGCAGCGGTGAGAGATGGTACTAGCACAATGAAATCAATAGCATTTAGCTGGGATATGACTGGTCTGTTTGCCAAAACAAAAAACTGTCAATGAGCAACCTGAGTGGCTTTTACCAGGAGGCGGCCTGACAGATGTGTCGAATATGCCTATTTAGTAAAGAGCTGGCAGCGAATGCAGATGTGGTATTAGGAGTCGGTCAAGAGTCGACCCGGCCTGACGGGTTAATAGGAACAAAGGGACAAGAAAATGAAGGAAAGAAAGAGATGGTAAAAAATAAAAAAAAAAAAAAACACTTTGTGGCTAATTAGAGAAAAAAAATCTGATTTCTGCTGGGAAACAGGTTTCACTTTTACAGAAGAGATAATCTATTCAAATTCAAATCGCAAATTGTTTCAACGATATGTATTGTATGTTTCCCTCAATTTTTATGTTTTTAAATAATACTGTAAATTCTAAGGACTTTCTTTTTTTACTTAATTCCCAGTTCAAATTAAAATGAATCAGTCATGTTTCTTAGATATTTGTTCCTTATGAAGCTGAAACCTCCGTTTCTTCACTTGGATTTGCTGTCAGAAAATGTTTGTCTATTTCCATAAAAATGACAACTTTCTATTTCTCTCAAATGCATTTTAAAAATGCAAAAGAAAGATTGAAATTCAGACTCTCTATGGGCTGATGAGGGGGAAGTAAAACTCTGAGTCACGTCATCTCTCAGAGAGAGAAACAGGACAGCTGTTCAGAGACAGTTTCCCTACATGATAAATATCAAGCACACAAATTTCTGTGCCTCTTTTGCTGATGCATATTAATTTCACATCAAATTATGGATCAGTCCTCTTCTAAAGCAAGGTCAGATTTATAACATCAAAAAGGATCTGATGCAGCCAGATGCTGACGATTTCTTCAAGGTTTTTGGTTCCCATTTAAGTAAATCCCTGCAAATATGTAGCAGGATAAACTGAGAAAATCAATCGAAAACTAACCGACAGGATAAAGTTTACAGTTTGTGATGTTGAGTTATTCTGTCTTTAAAGTTAATATTACCTGCAGTTCGATTGTTATTAGTTTCTGTTTTCAGTTGAACTGGTGTCTAATGAACTGACCATTTATTTTACTACAGACAAATCCAAAGTTTTAAACCGTAAGATAGTTTGTCTAATGATCGAAAAATTCTTTTAACTTTCAAAAATCTGCTTAGTTAGTAAGAAAAAAATATCTCAAGGTTCAACTCAGCCTCAGGCCAGACAGACAAAACATGTTTTGATAATGTGAGTACAGCAAATCCAAGCCCACTGAATCCCAGACCTAATAACCAGACAGCAGATGTGCTTCATCTAAAGTTTTACAGTCAGAGGCCTTGATTTGTGATGATTTTCATTAAAGTTTGAAATGCTCCTGCAAGTAAAGTGATGCTACTTTTAAAGAAATTCAGTTTTAAAGCTTCTGAATATTGGATTTCTTATATGCCCACTAATTTCAAAAGCATCTCCAGCTTATAAAATGTGCGTCTGCTGCAGTGAAATGAACTTATTTCCATTTCTGACTCATCTCGTCCACAGCAGACTGTTCAACTGAAACACTAGTGGGTGAATGTTTCAACAAAACTCAAAGAAAATGTCTGTTATAGAGAAGTAAAATTTTGTAGAGATCAATATATTGGACTAATACAGGCCTGGACAGAGGGAACAGATGAGGGTTTTAGAGAAAAACTTAATATTATCAGCACTTTTCTCAAGGTTGAAGAACATTTTGCTAGGCCAAGATGGCGGCCAGCTGTGATAAAAGGAGTGGCTCTGGACAAGCAACAGCTGAAACCTCAAACGTTCTTTGAAAAGATCCTGAACACAAACTTCCTGTTAGAGGAACAAAAACAGAAATGTGGGAATAAAGAGGCGCTTTCAGTTCTTTATGGTAGAAAACGTTGAGTTCAAACGCAGCTGCTGGGAATCTCAAGCATCTGTTGTGTTCCTTGTCACAGCAGTTATTACAGACGCTGTCTGTCATCAAGACCCTGAATATTTATCCAGCTTTTTTACAGCAGGACAAATAAAGCAGAATTTCTGTTCAGCTCCAAACTGTCCAGTCCCAGAATGCCTCACAAACAAATGTTCCTGTATGTAGTACTTTTAACTGTTGTTGTTTGGTCATAAACATGTTTAAACATATTCTTTAAAACATTTTATCTCATCATGCAGCAAGAGTTTTGATGAAAATTAGAAGAAGACTTCAACCTCTCTTCACTGGTTTTCTGTTAAATCACCAAATTATCCTGAAGAAAAAAACTTTTCTATTTTGCTGCAGGTTTACAGGGTTGGTGGTTGTTTCTCTTCACTGTCATGACTTTGCTGCTAAAGAATTTCTCTGACACTGCATACAGTTTTCTGATTTCTTTACAGCTGGGGTGTCCAAAGTGTGGTCCGAGGGCCATTTGTGATTCTTGGCCTGTTTTTTGTGCAGCCCCCAATTGCAGTTAAAGAATGATACCAGTTTGGCCCGTCCAGCTCAGGTGACTGATGCAGACAGAGACGTTTTACCTGTGATCCAGGTAAAGATTTTTTTTCTTACAATGGAAAATGTTAAGTAAAAATTATTCAGTTTTTATAATATAAACCAAACATGTTTTACAGCAAAGTGAACTTTTTTCTGAAAATCTCACTTTGCTGCACCAAAATCAGTTTTCATTTAATTTATTAAAGTTTGATAAGCACAGCAAACGTTTCTGCTCTTAAAGCTGAACATAAATTTGTTCACTCAAGTCCAAAAGAATTTGAAGATATATTTTTTATATTACAGTAAATAATTTTAAAGTTTTGAATAACATCCCTTTCATACAACAGAAGAAAAAAAAAACTATGTGCTTGATTGTAGTTTTTTTTGTTTTTTGGTACGCATCTACTTTTGACTCTATAATTTTGGCCCATGTGTCAGAGAGCCATGTTTGAGAAAGTTGGAACTGCATATTTCACATAATATGAACTGCATTACATTAATTTGTACTGGAATAAGCTGAATGAATATGGACCGATCTGGATTGCAAATTACTGGAAATAAATTTGATCTGTTTGGCGAAAGTGCCTTCACATCATTTGTGGAGGAATTTTCTCTATATAAATAAAACTGAATGAAACTGTCAAATAAACGTCATTTATTCTAAAAAGCGTGAGAAATAATTCCAACCAAAATTGCTGCTTGTAATTTTTTCCTCATCTTGATTGGAGTAAAAAGACAGACTCCATTTTTCACTGAACAGCTCTAAGCTTCCTCAAAATTATCCATCTGCACTGCCACTCACTGCCCACTTTAAAACTTTCAAGTCCTTTTAAATTAGATGTAACTTGAATTTTTGAAAATTAACTATTTTAAAAAGTAAAGTTTGCCATTTGTGTTTTGAAGAGAGCCACAAAGTGAAAAGCATGTCTTATCTGATACACACAAACATGCAGACAGTCAGTGTCCACATACCCATTATATTCCCTATAACCTAACCAAACACACAAAAAAACATTTGGTATGATAGATGAAGAAAAAAGCTATAAGAGAAAGAAATGTGCACAAATGAGTGATAAAGCCTTGATGTACTGTGGATGAGACAGAAACAGAGATTGAAAATGTGGAAAAATCAAACCAATGCTTGATGCAGATAAAAAATGGGATAGAAAAAAAAAAAAACAGAAGGTGAGAAAAATCAATAGCAAGCTAAAAAGCTTCCAGAGCACACTGCCCAGCACACAAATGGGTGTATCTGCAAAAGATGAGCAGCAAATAAAGATCTGAGACACGGAGAGAGCCAGGCAGAATGAGGTGGAATCAGAAACACTTTAGCATCCGTCCACTGGGTCTAATGAAGCTGATCCAACAGTCTACTGCGACTCTGATCTTTAAACACTGGTGAACACGGATGTGGCATGAGGTGACAGGAGGAGAGCCGGATACAGGAAAAGGAGCAGAGTGTGAGAAACATTGAAGCAGAAGAGATGGACAGAGATGCTGCGGAAGAAAAGCATGCAGGATCACATGGTTGTGAATAGTTGGCCTTTTTCTGCAGTGTGTGAGTGTTTGTCTCTTCTAACTAACTCCTACAGGTTGACGTGATAACAAAACTACAACATGATCACTGGAATAATACTAATACTAGTGTAGTGTTGCTCCGTATCAATGGAAGGGTGCTCATACCTTTGCGAGCCAGACGGACGCAGTTGATTTTGGTTTCCTGTGAAGAGAAAAACACACAAGTTGAGATCCATCACACAGAAAAACTCAAATATTCCCATAAGTCCAGAAATTAACACATTGACGTTCCAACAAGATCATTTTTGCATGCTGAATAAACTTTCCATTCATCTACTTTGCTCCTTTTAAAGGCACATTTCTGAAATGTTCACTCTTGTTCTACTACAGAGAGATGAAGGAGTGCCTCAAGGCTCTTCCTTCACACCACTGCTGTTTCCAGTCCAATGTGGTTCAAATATTCGAGTTTGGTCTCATAGTTCATTCATTTCTGCTGCAAAGTAACTATGAACCTTCCTGTCAACTAATCTGGGAATTATTATAGAAAGCTCTGGAAAGCTTTATGTTGGTTATCAGTATTATAATTACTACTATTGAATATTCTTAAGTTTAATGTTTTACTGGCAAACGTTTCAGAAACCAGACTATATGTAGGAAATAAACTTTTATTCTTTCACTGAAACTCCAATTCTGGTGACTTTCTTTTCTTTTTGGAACAGACATCTTTAAACCATTTAATAACAACTATGGGAATCTTGCAGAGAAAAATTTTGCCAAATGGTTTCCCTGTGGAGTTGAATCCAAATACCTGCTGTTCGGACCTTGGTTGTTATTTTTGTAGTTCTGTTAATTTGCCTTAGTTTTACCCATTATATTTAGATCAGCCTTATTTCTGTTTTCGTTCAGATCAATCTGTTCTTCCTTTATTCCACCTCCTGTCACACAGTGAGGCTGTTCCAGCATGCCTTATATTTTGCAAACATCTGTTATTGTAAATCAAATGATAGTCTTTCAAATTTGAAGCCTAAACGTGCAGCATGGAAAAAATGCCTGCATGGCAGGTTTAGCATCTGGTTTTCTTCAAAATGTAATCTTTTGACAGTTCTTTATGAAAAAGGGAAGAGAAACAGAAAGTGGAACATCCTTCAGATGTTCAGTTTTTACATGTTTTATTTGGCCATTAAATATTTTAGTTAAGTCAAAAATAATCAGACTTTAATGTGAGATGATGTTTAGTTGGATAGTGAAACATTATGCAGGTCAATGTTATTTTAATCAAAAGAAGCAACATTTCTAGAACTAGAATATTATTTTATCTATATTTTAAAAAACGCATTAGATTTTTGTTATCAACTTAATTGTAATTTAACGGCTGAAATAAGTTAGAATATGACCTTTGCTTCAGTAAATTTAAGGTTTTAAAATTGGTTAAAATTTTATCTTTTAATTTAAATGACTTTAGAGGAGATAATTTTAACTAAAAACTATTAGAAATGAATAATTCAAAACGACTTGTTTCTTTTTTGAGCAGATTATATTCAGACATTGTGAATATAGCTTAATTTGTTTAAAAAATGTTTCTATTAATGGTTGCAAAGAGAAAAGGATCAGTTCACGTCTCCACTACTTTGGACATTTTGCTGTTTTGTGAGGAAACACTGATGTGTAAATTTGGGCCGATAACATCCGACAATATTTGCTGCTTTGGTTGCCAAACAATATTTACCAGTACGAAGAATATATTTTACTAGTATTAGAGACAAAAGACACAGTGCATGTTTCAGGATGGAGTGACTTTTTCAAGCATAAGACTAAAGTTGTTTTGGAGATGCAGCTCAATATTTCCGTCTTCCTCATATTGTTTAGATTTCCACTTTTGCCTGACAATCATGAGGATTTATCCAATAAGAGACCAGAGATCCACTGATGGTGACTTTATGCAACCAAAGTCAGGAATGTAACCGTCTTCATTTGCATTTCATCGGTTCTGAACAAAGGATTTAATTGAAATCAATTTTTATATCAGAAATTTGAAAAACTCATTCAAGCTCATTAAAATTCATAAAAGGTCCAGAGTTTGTTTTTTTTTACAGCAATGTTCGCTGCTTGAATGTAACAAAAGCCTCTGAGCTCTACAAAGAGAATGCTCCTCTCCTGTCAACAGACAAAGAATAAAAGTGCATTTAGAGATTTTGGAGTCTGAGTGCATCTTTGATTGACAGCGACTGTCAGAAGGTAAATCTCTCTCCTGGAAACTCCAAAACTGGCACTCTGAAGCTTGTTTAGTGTGTGTGTGTGTGTGTGTGTGTGTGTGTGTGTGTGTGTGTGTGTGTGTGTGTGTGTGTGTGTGTGTGTGTGTGTGTGTGTGTGTGTGTGTGTGGCGCGGGGGTGAGTGACATTGATTGTCGGAGTAGCCTGGCCAACCCCTGAGGCTTTTTACTCGTCAAGGAAGGTGTCTGGCTTCGCGGCGAGGAGGAGCATGTTTCTCCATGCATGTCACAGTTCCCTTTTGTTTTCTGCCATTTCTTGCCCAATTTCTTTGTCCTCTTCCTCCTCCGCAATCCTTCCTCTTCAACAATTCCAACTTTGCAGTATTTTTCCCCCAAATACCTCTTCATCTACCGCTGAAATTCACTTTCCGTGTTTTGTCCATTTAATCGACGCTTTGGTCTGGTTTGAAATTTACTGATTGTGCACAAGTGGCTCAAAGAAAACGCTTGACGTTTCCATGAATTTTATTTTATTTTGAATCACAGCATTAAAGTACAACTATTACCGTCCTTTGAACTGTGTTGTGCAGTGTTGGAGTAATCTCATTCATGTGTGGTGTTATTTTGGGGAGATGTTGAGTCTAACCACATTTGTAACTTGGTGACTGTGGATTTTGACAACATTAAACTGTTCTTTTGGAACATAAGTGGCTGTTGCAAGAGTGGTTGGGTTTTTAAGACTTTTTCACTTCCATTTCACACTGAAAACAGTCAGACAAACTAAAAATCATTTGTAAAATATTTTGTGAACTATTTAGGCCTATAATGTTTTGGAGATTGTGCATCTTTTTTGTTATATACAAACTGAAGGTCTTTGCCTTAAACAAGCTGCCAAAAATCAAAGTTCACACACAATAAAGCAACATCACAGTGAGTTTTTAAATCATTTAACAGTAAATACTTGAAAATAAAGATTGGATTTTCAAGCAACAACTTCCAGAAAAACAAAGCAGCACTGATCATTCAGACTGAATAAGAAATTGCAGAGTCAGATTTTAGTGGTCAGACTTCTCTTCCTACCACTGGTCTGTTGGTATTTACCCAGAATGCCCTCCACTGTTTTTAAAAAGGTTAGTTTGTTTTCTAACTTTATCATTTTTACATTGTAGTTTTACTGTGAATTTACTGTGGATGCTTTCAAGCTCACTTGAAGCATTGCTTGAATTTACAAATTACATTAAGGTGACTTATTCTCACTAGTTTAAAATAAATCACTATTGTATTTTACCTTTATTTCTTCATTTCAGGGAATTAAAAGAGAATAATTGAAAACTATAATATCTAAAATTGTTGCAAAGCAATTTTCATTTGCATTACAATAAGTGAATTAATTTTATCCTTTTTTTTCATTTCTTTTATTCTTCTTATCTGATGTCATCTCATTTAATTGTTGATTTTGTGACAATATTTCTCATACTAAATGGAAGAAGAGTGGAATTGGTAGATTTTTAACAAGCTGAATGGCACATGAATTATTTTATTTGCCTTTGTTTTGAATTTCTTTGAAAGGCTGATTGACTAACAACAACAATTATTATTATTATTTTGTGTGTCTGAGTGTTTTATTTTGAATAAACTAGAAACAATAAATGAGGAGACTCAGTCTCCTGGAAAGGTAAAGTTAAACACTCCACACAAGTCCTGGGTAAATTTTGCTGGGAGGAAAGTCAACCTAGGAAAGAGACTGAAGTTTTAAGGTTGCATCAGTGCAACGGGGAGCTGCTCTGCCTGGGAGGGAAGAATAAAGCAACAAAGACACATGTTTCAACTTCTGTCTCAGCTTATGTTTAAGCAGAAAACATACATTTTGTGAAAGAATTTTGCTTTTCAGTTTACAAGACAGCCTCACAATATTTTTCCACCTGCACTTTCCCCTCTGCATTTCCTCCCATTTTAACCCTGACTTGCTTCTATTATTGCCTCAAGTGATAAACTCTTCACTTGTTATCGTTTCACCCCTCCCACATCTCTCCTCATCCCAGAGTCCCAAATCCTTCCACTTGTTTTCCTCACAGCCCGAGGCAAACCGTTCCTCTGCGTGTTTGTGAGACACTGCATGACACTGAGACATGGAGACTGCCGTCGGTAGGCTGTCTTATTTGTTCAGATGAGAAACTGGCTTTCAGCTGACTATATTTGTATTTTTCCTTGTAAAAACACAAATATATCAAACATTTAAATCCAAACTTTCTGATCCGTTACAATATATTATGGCTTAGAGTCGTACTTTTTCCATTAAGACCCGATAAGTAAAATATTCTGAGTTCAAAACCAGGAACAGATTTACAAGTTTTGAGTGAAATTTAACTTTCTTTATGTTTCCTTAAACTAAAGATTTGACTGAGTCTTTATGATGAAATGTAGAAATAATTTATCATTTCTAAGTGACTCTAACAACTGTAAAAAAAAAAAAAAAAAGATTTATTCAAAGTTAAGTAATTGGTGTAAACTAGGTTTAGATGAGATAAGTGATAAGTAAATATTAGCCAACTAATTTTTTTACGTATTTGAAATGGTGTTAACTTTCAGAGTAGATAAACCCTTTATAAACTTTGCGTTGTGTGTCTTATTTGTTACAATTAGCTATTTTTATGGAATATAATTTGAGTATTTTATTTTGAGTTAAAATCACAAACTGTATTGTAACATCTAAAATGAAATTTAAACCAAAACCAAAAATGTTTAAACTATTCAGCTGATATTTCAGAGGTTTTCAGTTTAAAATTTAAGTCATTTTTACTGAAAGGTATTTAAATGTTACATTTAGACGAACCTGAACAAATTCCCAGAATTAAACTCATTGTTTGAGCCGCCTAAATTCTGAAAAATCAAGTTATTGCAGGATTTTTTCTGGTACCAACAAAAAGGATTGTTTATGTTTGATTTTATGTTTTGGTGGTGGTATTATTAGCAGGACAGAATTGAAAGGGAA